CAGAAAATATGCCATCTAATAAATGTTGGAGGATTGATAGAATTAGAAAATCACCACTTAAATAATTAAAGATCATCAATAGATACTAGCACAATTAGGTAAAATGTTGATGGGGTGGTGCCAAAGGGTTACCTCTAATCAGAAGGGGAAAACTTTACAATGGTGAGATCTTGTGGCTACCACTTTAACCCAGTTAGTAAACTTAGCTTTACTTAATGGGACAGTTGAGACCTTATGTGCCTCTAATATGATGTAATATAAAGTACATAGGATCACCTCTTTGGCACCTATTTGGTATTTTTACCAAAGGTTATTTAAATTGAATCATCCAATCAACCCTATAGGAAATATAAGCAATAGTGAAACAAGTTAAATGATTCTGAGGGAGGAATCAGACAAATCCAGAATGTGAGACATGATAGTTCTGTGAGACAACTGATCTGTTCTTTTCAAAAAGTCACTTTGAGGGGCATCTGGGTGACTCATTTGGTTAAGCATATAACTCTTGATTTTGGCTCAGGTCATGATCTCAGGGTCATGGGACCAAGCCCTGTGTCGGGCTCCATGCTAACTGGGGAATCCGCTTGAAGATTCCCTCCCTCTCCCTCTGCCTCTCCCCCTGCTCAGGTGCACATGCTCTCTCTCTCTCACTCTCTCTCTCAAGTAAATAAATAAAAATCTTCAAAAGAAAAAGTCACTCTGAGGAAAATGAATGGTCTTGGCGGGGTGGATAATATTCTAGATTAAAAAAGACTTTGGAGACATAACAAAATGCAATACATGGTTCATGTTTGGATATTACTCTAAAAGACATTTTGGGAATAATTGTGGGAGATTTGAATATGAATTGGGTATTAGATGATATTAGGGTATTATTTTGAAATTTTGTTAGGTTTGTTAATGGTGTGTGGCTATGTAAGAAAAATTCCTTATATTTTAGATATGCATATTGATGTATTTAGAGGTGAAATATTTCATAATGCCTGCCATTTTAAAAAAAGAACTTCCGCATGAAGAAATGGATGAAACAAATATGGCAAAATGTTAACACGTCAATGTGGTAAATATAGGAGATGAAGATATCAGTATGGATTGTACTAGTCTTTCAGACTTTTTTTAAAAAGGGGGTTGGGGGAGGGAGCAAAAAATGTTTGAAAATATTCATAATATAAAGTTTAAAATATTAAAAATGATTTGTGTGAAGGGTCCTTAGGAAATGCTACTTTTCAGCCTGAGAATGTGTTAAGTTGGAGAACCTGTGATTCTTGAATGCTTCTCAAACTCTTTTTTTCCTTCCTTCTCTCTCCCTGGTCTATGCAGCCCTCTTTGACTCTATGCACAGCAACCAAGCCTCAGATAGCCCATTTTCCCCACCCCGTACTCTTCATTCACCTACCCTACAACTCCGGCAGCGCTCTGAGAAGCCCCCCTGGTGTAAGTAATCCTTTTGGAACTGCCTGGACAAAGGCCAAGATTGATGGAGGGATTGGTGAATGAGAGACCTGTCTTTTCACGAGGGAAACAAAGATGAGGGTTGAAAGACCAGGAATAACCAGTAGGGGAAGCAGTCTCATCTGCTGTTTCCAAGGTGAAGGGAGGATCTGTTTACCCTGTCTCATTATCTCCATTCTCCATGACCCCTCTGTTTCCTTGGAGAGGCTCCTAAAATATAGTATCACAGAGGGTGCTTTGGGGAAGAAAGGACGAAACTTCATTCTCCTCAGATTCCCATTTGGGAATTTATAGCTTTCTCAAGTACAGATGACTTGAGAGGAAACTGAATATAGAGAAAAACTGGGAGAAGGAAACTAGAATCTGCTACTACTTTCTACATGTCCCTATTCTCAAGTTGTCTGTTCTCAGCTGTTCAAGTTGAGGTGCTGCTTTTTCCCATCTCTTCTTTATAATCTCTAGCCTATCACAAGGGGAGCCTGGGTGACACAGTTGGTTAAGCGTTCGACTCTTGGTTGAGGCTCAGGTCATGATCTCAGGGTTGTGAGATCAAGTCCGTTTCAGATTCTGTCTCTCTCTACCTCCGCCCCTCACTGGTGCTCTCTAAATAAATAAACAAATAAACAAATAAATAAAATCTCTAGCCTATCACTAATTTTCCTTGGTAACAGTGTAGTCACAAGAAGTTCTTAGGGTAATTGTAGGGAAGGGGAGATCCTGGTGACAATCAGAGGGAGGATAAGGGCCAGAGACACCAGTGATGGAAAAATCCTTTCCTTATTCAACCTGCCTCCAGGAAATAACTAAAATCAAACATGGCTTTTATTATTTCATTGGATAGGACTGAAGCAAAGATTCATATTTCAGCATCTGGGTTAAACAGTTGTAGAATTGGCATTGTGTATGCAGAAGAAACATTCCTTCCTGATTCCAAGAGCTCTTCCCCTGAATTTCAGATTACCTTACATTCACCTTGCCATTGCTCCTTTTATCTCTCCTGGAATGTTTATGGGTTTTGTGCCCCTGGAAATCTTTTTTTTTTATAATATATATATATATATATTTTTTTTTTTTTAATTCAAGTATAGTTGATACACAATGTTATACAACATACTGGTTCAACAAGTCTATACGTTATGCTCTGATCACCACAAGTGTAGCTACCATCTGTCACAATGCAATGCTAGTACGGTACCATTCACTGTATTCCCTATTCTGTACCTTTTGTTCCTGTGACTTATTCATTCCATAACTGGAAGCTTGTATCTCCCACTCCCCATCACCCATTTTGCCCAGCCTCCTACTACCCCTCCCCATCAGCTTGTTCTCTGTATTTTAGGTCTGATTCTGCTTTTTATTTGTTTATTCTTTTTTTTTCTTTTTAGATTCTACATATAAGTGAAATCAATGGTGTTTGTCTTCCTTTATTTCACTTAGCATAATACCATCTAGGTCCATCCATATAGTCACAAATGGTAAAATCTCATCCTTTTCATGGTTTAATACTCCATTGTGTATATATATATACATTTTTAAAAATTTAATTTAATTTATTTACTTGACAGAGATAGAGATAGTGAGAAAGAGAGCACAAGCAGGGGGAGCTGCAGACAGAGGGAGAGGAAGAAGCAGGCTCCCCGCTGAGCAAGTAACCCAATGTGGGGCTCAATCCCAGGACCCCAGGCTCATGACCCGAGCTGAAGGCAGCCACTTAACTGATGGAGCCACCCAGGCACCCCCCCTTTTTTTTATACATCTTCTTTATCCATTCATCTATTGGTGAACACTTGGGCTGCTTCCATAACTTGGCTATTGTAAGTAATGCTGCAATAAACATAGGGATGCATATATCTTTTGAAATTAGGGTTTTCATTTTCTTTCGGTAAATAGTAGCGGAATTATTGGATCATATGGCATTTCTATTTTAATTTTTTGAGGGACCTCCATACTGTTTTCTGCAGTGGCTACACCAATTTATATTCCTACCAGCAATGCACAAATGTTCCCTTTTTTCCACATACTCGCCAACACTTGTTATTTCTTGTCTTTTTTTCCTTAAGTTTTTATTTTAATTCCAGTTAGTTAATATACAGAGTTATATGTTATTTCTTGTCTTTCTGGTTCTAGCTATTCTGACAGGTGTGAGGTGATATCTCATTGTGGTCTTGATTTGCATTTCTCTGATGATGAGTGATATTGAGCATCTTTGCATGTGTCTGTTGGCCATCTGTATGTCTTCTTTGGAGAAATGTCTATTCAGGTCCTCTGCCCAGTTTTTAATTGGGTTATTTGGGGGTTTTTGGTGTTGAGTTGTATAAGTTCTTTATATATTTTAGATACTAACCCTTTATTGGATATAATATTTGCAAATATCTTCTACCATTCAGTAGGTTGCCTTTTTGTTTTGTTGATGGTTTCCTTTGTTGTGCAAAAGGTTTTTATTTAGATATAGTCCCAGTAGTTTATTTTTGCTTTTGTTTCCCTTGCTTCAGAAGACATATCTAGAAAAATGTTGCTATGGCTGATGTCAGAGAGAGTACTGCCTGTGCTCTCTTCTAAGATTTTTATGGTTTCAGGTCTCACATTTAGGTCCTTGATCCATTTTGAGTTTATTTTTGTGTGTGGTGTCAGAAAGTGGTTCAGTTTCATTCTTTCGCATGTAGCTATCCAGTTTTCCCAGCACCATTTATTGAAGACTGTTTTTCCCCATTGTATATTCTTGCCTCCTTTGTCATAGATTAATTGACCATATAAGCATGAGTCTCTGTTCTATTCCATTGATCTATGAGTCTATTTTTGTGTCAGTACTGTTTTGATTATTACAGCTTTGTAGGGTATCTTGAAATCTGGAATTGTGATACCTCCAGCTTTGTTCTTCTTTCTCAAGATCGCTTTGGCTGCCTCTGGAAACCTTATCTTTATCTTGCTTCTGCTTCCCTGTTTTTTGTTTTTTGTTTTAATTTTTTATTTATTGGAGAGGGAGAGGGAGAGGGAGAGCACCAAGGGGGAGGGGCACAGGGAGAAGCAGACCCCCTGCTGAGCACGGAGTCCCATGCAGGGCTTGATCCCAGGACCTGAGATCATGACCTGAGCCAGAGGCAGACGCTTAACTGACTGAGCCATTCAGGTGCCCTTCCTGCTTCTGCTTCTGTCTGACCTCTTTGATTTGCCTGAATCAAACCACTAACTGAATATTAAGGCTACTTCTATCTTTGGGTGAACTTTTTTTTTTTTTTCTTGTTTTTAATCTATCAGACCTTTGACTCAGTATGAGGTGTGTCGCCTCACTGGTAAATATTTTCTTTAGGGTTTGTCTGCCCTAAATAGGCCTTGTTGGTCCAAACCATGTTCCTCTGTGGCCCTTTACAGAAAAGAGAGAACTGGCATATGCTAAACTCAATGACTGATTCAGCCTTCGCAGGCTCAGGCTTGCCAACTTTCCCAGGTTCTCTTTGATGACAAGGATATTCAGGTGCCCCCTATATCCAAAATCGATCATTATTGATATTAGAGTGCTTTAAATATAAAGTTACAATACCATTAATAAATACATTTACAAAAAGAAAAGTAGATTAGTCCCCTACTAGAGGTCAATGAAGTAGTAGAGATTGGGGTAGGAATTGTCCCACAGTGTATTGAAGACTCTAAGCCCTTCATTTTATTACTGTCAGTAGTGGGGTAATTAATTTTTATGTTGTATATGTCTATAACATCCACAAGCCTATAACATTGTGTGTCCCAAGACTTAGGTCTTAACCTTGGATCCAGGGATGGATTTCAGGGTAAAGTCTTTGAATCCCAGGAATTGTTTATGAAGATTAGTGTGAATATCCATATGTATATTTTTCTGAGAAGATAGTCCATGACTGTCATTAGAGTTTCAAAGGGTTCAGTGACCCCCAGGAAGGTTAATTATGAACCTCTGCCATTTAGAGATTCCATGGCAGCCTTCCATCTTAAGGCGATTTTCCTTCCTACTGTTCTCATTCATAAGATTTTTCTACATTCTCCTGCTTAATTGTCTCCTGGGCTATAAACAATGATTACCTTTGCCCCAGAAATATGTTGACTGCTTTAAAGAAATGATTGTTAACAAAAGATGTACATCAGATTTAATTGGGAGTGTTTCAACAAAATACAGTGACCTCATTCCCTCTCCACCCCTCACGTTTACACTAACCTACAGAATTAGAATCTCTAGAGATGGAACCTAGAAATTTGTATTTTTAAAAAATATCCCATACTTTTGATATATACCCTTAATTATGAACCACTGGATTACAGCATTGGTATGCTCCCAAATGACCTTGGGAATTCAGAGTTGGGTTGGGGGTACATTTGTGAAAGAACTGGATGAAGTGGGCCTCATCACTCTCCTGAAGTCTTAGATGTACCTTAGTGCTCCTGTGTACTCCTGTAGTATACATTAGGTCAGAGCAACAGTTCCTGAGCTGGGCTAATTGAGCAGTCTCTGCATAGCTTAGGAAGAATTCAGACCCTCTTTCCTCAAGTCTGTATATTCTGGCATTTGAACTACATACATTGAATAGAGCCTACTCTTCCAGCTTGCCTGACTTGGTCTCCTGACTTTGTTTTACAGACAGCAGTGGCCCTTCCAGCACTGTGTCCAGTGCTGGTCCTTCCTCCCCCACTGCAGTGGATGGTAACTGCCCTTTTGGCTTCAGTGATCAGCCTTCTGTAAGTTCACACATGACTGAAGAACGTCAAAGCCTTGGGATGCTCCTTAGGAATGGAGAACAAGAGCTCCCCATTGAAGGGGTGCAAGGGCCTTTTGAACCAAGCCAGGCTTCACAGGAACCACCTGTGGAAACCAGCCAGCCATGCCAGGAGGTTCCTGACATCAGCCAGCCATGCCAGGAGGTCCCTGACATCAGCCAGCCATGCCAGGAGAACCATGACAACATTGACCAGATATGTCAGGAGGTTCCTCAGATCCATCAGCCATGCCAGAAGGCGAGCCAACTGTGCCAGAAAATCTCTGCGGAAGCTTGCCAACTTTGCCAGGAGAACCCTGAGGAGGTCAGCCAGCCATCCCAGGAGGTCCCTGTGGAGGTTGGCAGGCTGGCTTATGGGTTCCCTGTAGGGATTGGTGGCCTGGTCCAGGAAATCCATGTGGAAGGTGGCAAGCCAGCCCAAGAGACCCCTGAGGAGCTCAGCCAGCCATGCCAGGAGTTCTTTGCAGAGGTTGGCAGGCTGGCCCTAGAGGCTTCTGCAGTCAATCTATTGTCTCAGGACATTCCTGAGGTTGATAAACCATCCCAAGAGTTTCCGGGGGAGGATGATCTGCAGGTTCAGGAAGTCCCTGAGGTTGATAATCAGCAGTCCTGGGTGGTCCCTGAGGTGACTGACCAGCTGCCTGGAGAGGATACTCCCCAAGCCCAGTATCCATCTAGTGATCCAAACCCTCAGAGCCAGTCTTTAGTTGGTGACCAATACTCACCCCTCCCACCAGCAACATGTGATTAATCATGTTCTCATTAGTGGTATCACACTAAACCAGCTATTTGAGCTAGCAACTTCTTCTGTTGGCTAACTCACCTGCCAGTATAAGACCTTGGATCTCACCAGAGGTGTCTGAGGAAGCAGTCCTCTTGGCATGAAGCCAAGAACTGTGCCAGAGCTGGGCTTGAGAAGGAACCGATTTCATGTTCAAAGCAGCCATTGACTCCTCACGTGGCCATTAGACTTGAATAGGATTTCCATCAAGGGGTGGGCTGATCTATCATTACCCAACCTCCTCTGAGCATCCCAGGAAATTCCAGATTGTTAAAGGAAATGCCACCTAACTGCTGAAGACACCATCTGGGGACAGCAAGTGCAAAAGGGGACTCCAAGGTCTCCACTTTTCTGGGGAAATATTCACAACTTCACAAGGTACCCTTAGACCATATGTGCATTCAGGAGGACTCTTGTGTTTGCTAGCACTCCTCAGGAGGGCCCAGGATGTCTGTCTGAAATGTTTGGGAAAAAAGCGAGTCCCCTTCCCAAACATCCATTGTGGCCACTAATCTTTAGATTGGGCTTATGGGTGTTTTATATGTCATCCCAAGTTCCCCCTCTGCCCCAGACCTGTTCCCCTGGGCAATAGCTCCAGGGAAAAGTAGGTATTAGATTGCTGTGAAAATTTAAGAGTAACTACTTAAAATGCTCTGGGGGTACTTGGCCAATCTGTGAAGCTGGGCCTCCTTTTGTTGTAGGGCTACTTGGCTTAAGAGATGATGTAGTAGAGAAAATCAGGTTCTATTTTAAGCAATCAGCAGAGATCAATATTGTACAGACATGAGCAAAGATTATATATATTTCTGTAGTAGTGCCAGGGACAGACTGGCCAAAGACCAAACACTCCAGGTTTCCCAAGAGGTATGTCCTTTTATCATTGTGTCTTTAGGGTCAGGTGTGATTATGAAGCTTTTCCCAAAGATATGGGGATGGGCATGGGTGTGGGTAGGAGGAATAATGCAGTCATTGGAGTGGGGTGGCCGGAACATTATGAGTGCTCAATAAATATGAAATAATAAGAATGGTGATGGTGGTGATGATGTCCTTGTGAATTCAAGAATGAATGAGTATAAATCCATCATGTCTGTTTGTGACTAAATTAATCTGAACCAGTCAAAAGCTGTTGTAGTTGAGTGGAAAGGGACTATAAAATAATCAGGCATCCTAGGAGGTCCCAGTGGCAGTCAGCCCACCATCCCAAATTGTCTTCAATGAGTAGTATTGTGGGAGATAGACTTTCTAGCTCTGTGAAGCACCACTGGGTGCTTGCCTTCTCACCAGATTCTTGGAATCACCCTCTTAGTTTTTCACTCTGATGCTTTGGAGTGTTAGGAGGAGTTGATATAAAGGGGTTATGGTCTTTCTTTGCCTCCTTGACATATTTACATTGGGCAAGCCCAGAACACTGGGAGGACTGGAATATCTCCTTTCCCATATATTTACATTCACAACCTGGCCTCTCCTGACATAACCAGGACTATAAAGGGTTTCCCTGCAGGGCAAAATCCAGCATTTACTCAGTGGAACTCCTAACTGCACAGGTGAGTGCTCTTTACAACCTCAATAGGCTCTGGATCTCTTAGGGCTTCTCAACTCTTTGCCTCTTTGGCGTTCCCTTATTCCAGGTTTCTAATGCTGGTTATTCAGTCCTTGGCTCTTGACCCCAAAGTATGTAGATCCCCTTCCCAGAAACCCTGCCCCTCTTCCCTCCCCCAAACCAAATGTATCTCTCCATCCTAGGCCCCTCTTCCTCATACTCTGGCGTTCTCATTTTCAGAAATTAGGCTGGCTCCCTGTATCTTTTTCTCCCTTTATCCGCCCTATGTTCTCTGGCCTCCTTGGGTCCTGGAGCTGCTTCCAGTTATCAAAGACATTGAGATAAATGACAGTGCTGGGAGAAGCAGAGAGGTAGAAGCCAAGGCCCAGCAACTAAGCACTGTGTAGTCAGAAAAAGCTTAAGCAGCACTACAGCATCTGTAATGAACTTGAATTTATTGTTAGAGTTGGAGGCGGCTCCATTACAGCAGCTGGGAACTATAGCAGGGAAGTGTGGGGAGGAGCAGAGCACAGCAGCACGGGGAGGGTGGGAGCTAGGAAGAACACAGGCCGGCTCATTTTGGTTTCCACACAGTCATTTGGCAGAGAAGCCGAGCCCTGACGAGCGTCTGGATTTCTCAGTCCGGCAGTAGTCTGGCAGGGCTGCTCATTGGCTTACTTGGGGAGAGGTCCTCTCCTGGGGTATTTTTTTTTCCAGCCTGTTTTCGTCTTATTCAGTAGGAGTTCAGCTTTAGCTCAGCTTTGTCTCCTTCTTCCCTTCCTCCCTCTCATTTTCCCCAAGTTCTCTGGCATGGCTTCTACCTCCCAGATCCTCTGTCCAAGAGTTTGGGGCTGGAAAGGCAGCCAATGTTCCCATTTCAGCTGCAGGATGGCATAGTGGAATGTTGGGGGAGTCACACGTTGCTGGGGTGTCAAATGTTGGGATGTCAGGCAGTGGCTTATTTTTAACCCATTACACACCAGGCCACAGCAGATGACCACATGCAGAGAAGCCAAGCAGGGGATGACAAGGGATGAGGATAATTGGAATGGGTGGGTGAAAACTTCAAAAGGTCAGGGAGCTTGGAAGAATTCTGGGATTGGGGCTGGGCTCTCCTTGCCCCTTTGTGCTGCCCAATAGGCCTGGTCTGGGCACAGCTCTGGGATGTGAATGATATGAAGCAGGGGCTGGGAGGATAAGTAACTTTCTTCTCTCACCAGTCTATTGGTCAAAAGAGCTTCAAGTTTTGGATTGAGACATTCAGATATGGAGGGAAGCAGTGGGACAGTGTAGCAGCAGTGTACCCCTGGACCCCTGCTGGAACCCAGACCCTGGTGGGTAAGAGTATGGGAGATGGAGGAAAGGGCGCAGCTCTGGGCACCTCACTGACAGAATCCTGCCCTCGGATCACATAAATTACTACTGGAGATCCTTCCTTAGAATGCTAAATAGAGATAAAGAGGTCCCTGGGTTTGGGGATATGATCTCACTCCATGAGGGAGGAGGTTGCTGAGACCCATCCTTACTTCCCACCCAATACAAACACTTGGTAGTGTTAGGAGAAGGGGTCACTCCAGGGTTCTCAGGCGTCAGATGATCTAATTTTTACCCTCCTTCTATCCTCTCCCTGTTGCCTTTGGTTTTGAAACTCCTCTCAGGTATGGATGAGGGGGAGGGACAACCCCTGCATTTAGCCCAGCCCAACTTCCCACAATAAGAAAGACATCCTGTCCCCTGTCTCCCCCACCCCAGCTCCCACGTCCCTCAACCCCAAAGGACTCAGCAATAGCCATTCTCTAAGGGAGCTGGGGGAGCAGATCCTTGGGGAAAGGAGAGTGGTTCTTTCAGAACTCAATCTTGCAGGCTGGGAAGGATTCATCCTGCATGACCACGGTGCTGCTGCTAGCCAGGACCAGGACGTTCAGTTGTTGCTGCTGCTCATGAGTCTGCTGGTACCACTCGCGAGTCACCTCTGTGTCATGAGTAGGGATCAGCGTCACCTAGGAGGGAGACAAGAAATGCCTGATGTGACATGAGGATGGGGCATCATGCCTGATGGTCTAGGAAGTAGTCCACTGCCCATAGGAAGGGCTCAGTCCTTTTATGAATAGAGACTGTGTTCCACTATTGCCTCAGAGTAAGCTTCGACCAGACCTCCTCCTCGGCATCCCTTGCCACTCACCTGAAGATTCTCCCCCCACTGGGCCTTGCCCTCCAGCAATGCATCCAGCACAGCCCGGCTCGGCTCGCCATTGACAGGGTCATTCCCACTGACCACATAGTAGGATGCACGCACTCGACGGAAGAAGTCAAGGTCAGCAGTCTTGCCACTGCAATGATTCGGGATATAGGCGAGATCCACGTATACGGGGGAGCCAGAGCCGCCCTTGGAACCCAAGGCCGCTGTAGAGACAAGCCAGGACTCATTGGAGAGGTAAAGTAGAACACTTTTAGCAATCTTCTTCCTCCCACAATCCCTCCTACTCCTGGAGTCTTTGACCAGCCACACCCAACCCCAACCCACCGTCTCTCCCACTTTTCATGTTATACTTACATGGTCCTGTTTTGAGTCCATTGACTAGGCCTTTGGACATGGGGCTGTGTCCATCCTTTTCCTCTGCTGGGGTGACCTGGCTTGGAGTGTTGCGTGGTCGGGGTGCGACCCGGGATGCTCGATCTGCAGGCCCTTTACCAGGGGTGGGTGAGCGTTTCCCCCGAAGATCCAGACGCCGGGCAGGAGATGCTGGCTTGGCCCTGCCTGGGGCCCTGCGCCCTACTCTCCCCTGTGCCTTCTCCTTCTCCCGTAGCTTTTCTACCCTCCCAGATTCTGAGCTGAGCCCCTCAGGGTCAGCCATGCACACGTCAGGGCGAGGAGGGGATGGGCGGGGGTCTGGTTGAGGGATAGGGGGTGGGTCATGGCCAGGCCTGGGATGGTGAGTTCCACTGACCCCCCCAGCTTTGTCCACAGGCAGGAAGTCCCCATCTTCATCTGAGTCGAGGGCTGCCTCAGCTGTGATGGATGGGCACTCCTCAGTTTCTGGTGGAACATCAGAATCTGATTGTGAGGAGCCTGAGTCACTGGCTGATGTTGGAGGCGTCTCATCAGCCACAGGGCATGGGCCCCCTGTGGCCCCTGGGCCCCCTGCCCGGCGCCGCCCCCCTCTCCCTACTAGCCGAGCTTCTTCAGTTGAGAGGTCACCTTCATCTGTGGACTGGGGCAGAGGTGGGTTCAGAAAGGATGGGGAGAGGTCCCCGCGGTGGGGCCAGGGCTCAGCAGCACATCCCTGGGGCCCAGCCTCAACCTCAGGGGAGCCACTTCTGGGTTGGCCTCCAGAAGCCCCTCCAGGGCACAGTGGCTGCTCAGGGGAGAGGAGTGTGTCAGGCCGGGAACTCCTCTCCGCTCCCTCAGGCCAGTCCCCACGTTCCCAGGCAAGGCAGGTCTCAGCTGCTTCTTTCTCAGCCTTGGCCAGAGCAGGGCCTGGGGGGTTGGGGCTGGTTTCAGTTGGGCCATTGGCGGCACAATCCCCAGAGGGACTCTCGGAGGGGCTTGGCTTCTTGGTGGGGGCCCCTGTGCACTCCAGGCGGCAGGGCAGAGTGCTATCATCCATGTCTCCAGGCAAGCTTGGAGCTGGAGCTGGGGCCAAGTCCAGGGAAGCTGGGGGTGCTGGGCTCAGAGGAGTGAGGTCCCAGAGGCTGTGGGCAGCTGGTTCCATTCCTGGGACCAGCTCTCCAGACCCCCGTTCTGCAGCCTCCAGGCCAGGAGGGAAGTGCTCAGCCACACTCGAAATCACAGGTGTGGTGGCTTCAGAGGAGGAGCCTTCAGACAGGGCTGGTGAAGCAGGTCGTGGCAGACTGGAGAGGAGAGGGGCCCCAGGAGAGCTGGGTGATGGGAGCTGGGGCAGTGAGGAGTCCAGGCTGGGCGCCTTGGCCACTTCTAGGTACTCATCATGCCGGGCTCTGGTGGGGGGCCCTGGAGCCAGGGCCAGAGCTCGGTCCCCAGAGAAGGCGAGGGAGCCACAGGGTGCCGAGCGGGGTTCAGCAGGAGAGGGCAGTTGTGGGGGAGCTGGCTGCAATGAGGAGAAGCCAAAGGCTGAAGCAGGGAAGTCCAGGCTGGGTCGGGCAGGACCCAGGGGTGAGTCCGAGGGAGGGCTGGTCTGTGCCTCACTTTCAGGCCACAATGTGGGGGACCCTGCAGAGATGGGGTGAGGGGGACTTGGGGATTGGGCCGCTTTCTCTGGCTGTTCCCGAGCCCCCTTCTCCAGCTCTGAGTCACTAGTGCTGTCATCCCAGTGACCCTGGCCTGATTCCTTGGGGGATGGGGTTCTCCTATCTGGGCTACATCTCAGAATATTACCATTAAGAGCGGGGCTTGGGCCTTTGCTCAGGGGGATAGGAACACGGGGGGGCACTGCAGGTGGGGTAAGGCTGGGCTCCCCACTCGGCCCTGGCTCAGGCTCCTGCCTGGGGGGTAGAGTGGGTCCCGCCAGGGCTGCATAGCTAAAGGTTGGGGTGTCAGATTGGAGACTCTTGGGTGAGACAGGAGATGAAAGCTCCTTCTCTGCAGATGGATTTCGGCCAGCAGCCTCCTCCTTGGCTGAGATGCGTGGGGGCCAATCCCCAGCTGCCCCAAGTGGAGGTTCTCTAGTGGGGCAAGCAGGGCCAAGCCCGGTAAGCATCATCTGCTCATAGATGTCTGCGTACTGAAAGCTTCTCTCATCAGGATAGGGTGTGGGCTCTCTCTGCTCGGGCTCCATCTGCTCAGGCTCCTTGGTGGCATGGCTCTCGCTGGCCTCTGGGACCTTTGAGCTTTGAGGGTGGCTGCCAGGAGCCCCAGCTCCACCTTCTTCTTCCCTTTCCCCTTCAGCCTTGCGGTAGTCCTTCCCCAAGGGGGAGTATGGCCCACCTTCCAACTCCGCTGCTGCTTCCTGCACTGCAGCCACCACACTGTCATACTCAGTTGTGCCCCAGGAGAAGGGCGCAGGAGTGTGTGGTTCTGGGGCAGGTGTGGGGGGAGCTGGAGCTGGGGAGAGGGGTGCAGGGGGCAGGGTTCTGTCCTTGGGCACCCATGGTGGGATGTCAGCCAGCCACGAGGGGGTGGTGGGCTCGTTCCTCACAGGTGGCATGGGCTCAGGCTCTGGGATAGGGCTTTCTCGTCCTGGGGCTGGAGGAACCCTCTGTCCTACCATCTCAGGTGGGGAGGCCGGAGGAGAGATGATCTCAAAAGGGGAGCGGGTCAGCTTGTCCTCTTCCTCTGGTGGCAGCCCAACTGGTGACTCAGCAAGCCAGCGTTCCACCTCCAGCCCCTTCTGTGGTGAGGACTCCTGGAAACCCTTGAAGTCTGAGGCCCAGGGGCTCTGGGGCGTGTGTTCCAGTGGGGGCACTTGTTCATCGTCTGGCCCTTCATCAAGGAAAGTGCTCTCCCGCTCCTCTGTGTACCGTGGCCGGGCCCCCGGGCCATCCAGCTCATGAGGAAACCACACCTTGCGCTCACAGCTCAGCTCCCTCCAGTATGGGTCCTGTTCTAGGGCCACATCCTCTCTGCCCCTCCAGTACCTGTCCTCCTGCTCAGGAGATGTGTCCTCCCATGTCCGGGCAGGCCCCTTCTGTTCTCCAACTGGCTCCCCTCTGGATGGAGATGTTTCTTGCCACTCCTGGACCACATCCTGCTCCTTCCAGTACTTCTCTCCCTGATCCTGGGCCTTGTCCTCCTGCACTGGGCTCTCTTCCAGACCGAGAGCTTTGGTCTGCTCTAGCAGAGCTGCTTCCTTCTGTTGTACAGCCTCAATTTTTTCTGGAGATTTTTCCTCTAGGACCTTCTCTTTTGGTTTCACGGTTTTATCCTCCTGCACTGGGCTCTCCTGCTCCTGAGTTTTGTCCTTGTCTTCCAGAGCCTTATCTTTCTCTTCAACAGCCTTATTGTTTTGTTCCAGGGCTTCAGCCTTCTGTCCCAAGGCCCAGTATTTTTGTTCTAAGGCCTCCTCCTTCTTTTCCAAGGCCTCGTCCTGCTGTTCTTGGGCCTTGCCTTTTTGTTCCAAGTCTATGTCTTTTTGTTCTAAGGTCTTATCCTTCTGTCCATGAGCCTTGTCCTTCTGTTCAGGGGCTTCGTCTGTCTGTCCTAAGGCCTTGCCCTTTGGTTCAGAGACCTTGTCCTCTGGAGGTTTGTCTTTATGTTCAACGTCTCTGACTTTTTGTTCTAAGGTTTCATCTTTTTCTTCTAGGATCTTGTCCTTCTGTTCCAGAACCTTGTCTTTTTGTTCTAAGTCTTTGTCTTTTGGTTCCAGGGCCTTGTCCTGGTGTCCCAGGACTGTGACCCTTTGTTCTAAGTCTCTGCCTTTTTGTTCTAAAGCCTCATCTTGCTGTTCTACAGCCTTGTTCTTTTCTTCCAGAGCCTTATCTTTCTGACTAATGGCTGTATCCCTTTGCTCTACAACAATATCCTTCTGCTCCAGAGTTTTGTCCTGCTGTAGGACTTCATCTTTTGGTTCAGGTCCCTTGTCCCTCTGCTCTGGGGTTCTGTCTTTCACCTCTGGAACTTTACCTTCCCACTCCATGGCAATGCCCTCCATGGCAGGGCTTGGCAAAGACTCAGGACTCTTGGTGAGGGAGCTATCAGGTGTCAGAATGTGTTCACCAGGGCTGCTGATCACACCAGGTGAGTGCTTCCCATCTCCCAACAATGTAGAATGAAAGAAGGGGCTGGCAGGTAATTTTCCATCAGGGCTCTCATCTGTGATGTCTGCCAGAGCAGGATATGCAGTGGTCCCATCTGTGGGAGGTGACACTGTGGATGCACGGGGTTCTGGAATAGATGCAGGCACTACGTGGTGAGAGGTGTCCTCAGCCTGCATCAGAGGCCCCTTTTCTTCCTTTCCAAGGCTTAGTTCCCCAAACTGGAGGGTGCCAAGGTTTTCTGGAGAGAGCTGCTTAGAAGAGATATCGAGAGAGGTCTCCTTGCTGGGACTCTCTTCTGAGAGAGAAAGTGACTGGGTGTCTTCTGGAGATACCTCTGGCCAAAGGGCTTTGTGTAGCTGCTGCTCTGTCAGGTCACATGGAGACCTGGGGATGGTTTCTTGGTTGGCTGTGTCTGGGGAGACCACACTGAGTACAGATACGGACTCTGCATCTTCAGGGGAGAGGCTTTGGTCAGGAAATTGGAGCACCTCATCTTTCTGAGTTTCACCAGGTTCTTGGAGTGATGTTCTCAAATCTCTGGGAAGGATTTCTGTTCCCAGAATTGGGCCTGTGGGCTCTCTTGCCTCCACACTCTCAAAGACTATTGCTTTGTCCTGTTCTGGTAACAGTTCGATAGTGCAGCCTGTATGTCCCCCAACGATGCTGACAGGTGTTTCCTGGGCATACGGGCTCCTGGGAGGAGGCACTTTTCCCTCCTCCTCTAGTGTGACCTCTTCAGGCCCGGGCTTAACTATCTGCTCTGTAGCATCTTCCTTGCCCTCACCTGGTGCATGCCTAGTTCCTCCCCAAGAGCCTGCTTCCTGAAAGTCTTGGGGCTCAGACTTTTCTTCCACTGGGGACTGATGAAAGGGTGTGTGGGTGGCACTGGGTGGGCCAGATGGTGGAGGAGAGGCCATCTTCACTGTGCTATCATCCGGGCTGAGGCAGCGCTCCTCCAGTTCTCCAAGGACTGGTTCCCCTGGATGTAGGGTATGCCCAGGGGCACCAAACATCGGGGCTCCAAATTGACTAGGAAGTTTCTCAGACATCTCTACATTTGTGGTCTCCTCTTCTTCCTCTCCCACGGCTTTCTCTCCAGGCAAACCTCTCCCTACAATCTCTCCTTTCTTCTCTGACTCCCCAGTCACAGAGAAATCCTCACAGGGTGGTGATTTGAAGCACTTGTCTTCTTCCAGGGAGGAGGTGGGTGAGATGGTTCCAGCTGATGGCACATAGTCCAAGCCCTGAGTGGCTTCAGTGCGGGATGAGGGGATGCTTGTGACTGTGTCAAGCAGCAGGGAGCTCTTGCCCGTCTCCTCTGTCTGGGGAGCTGTGAGTGAAGCCACAGACTGGTCCTCAGCCACGGATGTGGCAAAGGAAGAAAGCTTGTCGCACTCAGTGATTGAGGTGGCCGAGGACACGTGCTCCTCTTCAGCCAGAGGGGCAGCCACCATGTTGGGGGGATAGGTGAGTTCAGTCTCTGGCGCTCCGTAGCCTTTGCTGGAGGCAGCAGGGACAGCACTGTCTGTAGGCTGGCTAACCTCAAAGGAGCCGGGACCTTCAGGCCCAGGGAGGTCATATGTACTTGTAGGAAATCTAGGTGGAGCTGGGCGCTCCTCTGGCTCGTCATGAATCTCCTCATCTGAGATGGTCTGCTCTGTCTCTGAGTAGCCAGGGATTGTTTCGTCCTGGATGTAAGAGACATGCTCAGTGGCTCCTGCAGGTGTGGCTAGGCTGCTTAGGAATGACGAGGTCTCCTTCTCAGGAGCCTTGCCCTGGAGTCCTACTTCCCGGCCCTCGAGGGCCTCCCTGCCCCTTGGTGTTGCCTTCAAGCCTTCCTGCATATGTTTTTGGTAAAAACCCTCAGCCTTTGTCTCTTCTTCTTCCTCCTCATCTGAAGGGTGCAACTCCTCCATTTCTTCTAACTCGGCCTTCTCTATCACATCCTCCTTTACCTCGGGTTCACTTTCCTCTCTGGCTTCTGTTCTATCAGGGAGCCTGTCTGTTTCCTTCTGCTTCTTTTCCTCCCAGGTATCTTTCTCTTCCTCTGTTTCAGCCCCTGAGTCTGGGCCTCTATCCTTACCGCCTTGTTCTTCAGGGATGTCTGAGACAACCTCTCTCTCCTTCATCATAGGCTCTTCTTGTTCCAGCCCTGGGACAGAGGGTGGTATCCCCTGGCCATTTGTGCTCGGGGCTTGCTCCTCTGCAGTGTCTGGAGGGAGTGGTTTCTCTCCTAGTCCTATGTCCCTTTGTTCAGCCAGCAACCCCCTCTCCTCACGCTTCATCTCCTCAAAGTCTTGTGTGAGGTCCTCTGGTGAAGACAGAGCTAGTTCCCTGTGCCCACTGACTATTGGGGGTGGTACAGCCCCCTTCTGGGCTGGGGGTGTCTGGGGCTCAGAAGACAGCTCTTTCTCTGCACGAGCAGCCCGACTCTTGTCCATTTTGACCCTGCCAGGGGCCTTGGCTTTGTAGAGGGTCTTACGCACCTCAGGGGTAAAGGGCTTCAGGTCTGGCTTGGAAATTTTCTTGACCTCAGGTTTGGTATCTTTCCTCTTCTCCTCCTTTTTGGCATCCTTCTTCTCCTCCTTCCTTCCTTCATCCTTCTTGAGCTCCTTTCTCTCCTTCTTGATCTCTTTTTTCTCTTTGTCTTTTTTCTCTTCCAGCTTTGATATCTTTTCTTTCAGGTGCTTCTTCCCCACCTTGTCTTTGATCAGCTTTCGCTTCTCTGCCTTCAGGGCCTCACTCGACTCAGTCCTCACCCTCTCAGGTTTGGTAGGCTTCTCTGGGGGCTTCTCAGATGACTCCTTTACTTTTTTCTCTGTCTTGGCTAACTCCTTGGCCAGTTCTGAACGGGCTTCCTTGGCTCCCTCTTCGGCTACCTCCTCCCGTTTGGCCAGCTTGCTCACAGCTGTCTTGGCAGTGGCCTTGAGGCTCTCCTTGCTGTCAGCCCTCTGTTTGATTTTGCTAGGTTTGAGGTTGGCAGGCACAGCGCCAGAGGCCAAGTCCTTCTGTGTCGCCACAGGGTACCGCAGGAAGTCTAGGTGCCGAAGCTTTTCTAGGCCCTCCAAGATCTTGTTCTGGGGAGCATTCCCTGGAAAAAGCACACGTACAATCTTCTCAGTGGGGTTGGCTGGTAGCCAAACCACCAGAGCAGTGATAGAGGTCAGGTAGGGCACCGAGATCTCAGCCTCCTTCCCATTAGCCAGCACAATGCCTGTCTTAGCTTTACTATTGCCTGCCCACTTTTGCATGAGGAACTGCATCTCTTTGCTGTCCTTGACAGGGTTGAGGACGTACATGTCCAGGCGGCCCACACCCATCTTGTGGAAGAGGGTCAGAGGCTCAATGGTGTTGCTGACCACACGGTACAGAGGTTCGGCCTGGATGCCCAGGCGGTTTAGGTGTTGCAGAGTGAGGCAGGCCTCCTCAATGCTGCGCTTGGCTTTTCGGGAGGCATCAGGCAGCCGCAGCTTATCTGGCACGTTGAAGAAGACAACTCCAAGCTCGGGGGAGATGAGGTTCTTCACCCAGTCGCTGTAGCTGCTAGAGCCCTGTGACTGCTCCTCCTCCAGTTCTGCCACTTTGCGCTGCAGGAGCCCATTGATGCCTGGGAGGTTGTCTGCTCCGATGTGTGTGAGCAGCACCGAGTCAATGCGGTCCAGGTGCCGCACCAGCTTCCAGAAGCAGGACTTGCGATCAGAACCACCATCCACCAAGATGTTGAAACCGTTGACGGCAAAGAGGGCAGAGTCTCCGCGGCCACCAGGGAAGATGTAGCAGCAAGGCTTGGAGAGCTTGAGGAAGCCCCCTGAGGTGGGGGGCTCTAGCAGGTCAAAGGGAGATGGCACATCCACAGTCTCAGAGACATACTCGGAGAACTCGGCCACAGCATCCATGGTGGGCAGCGTGGGCTCAGGGTTTAGTTGGAGGTGCAGGGTCTCTTGGCCACTGGATAGGCCCAGGTGGCTCCAATCACCCTCCCCTAAGCAGGAAACAGTGAGGAAGGCCTGGATCCCAGGGTCTCTATTGCTGAGCAATTGGGCAATCTAGAAGAATGGGAGATGAAAGGCTGATCAGGTCACGTAGAGACCTGGGGTCGCCTTAACCCGACTTAGATCCAATCTGCTAGTCTCCACCACTTTGTGAGGGGATTTCCTCCTACCTTTCAGCCAGAGCTCGCTCTGGTCAAGCAACATGAGATTTTCCCATCCTTGGATCCCTCCCCACAGCTCTAGCCCTACCCCATTTTTTGTCCCTCCCAGATACGCAGACATGGACCTTACCTCTGGGTTGTGAAGGACCTGGGCAAAGTTTTGATAAGAGTAGGTACCACTCTGTAGGATGAGGTCTCCCCCAGGCTCTAAACTTTGCCCACTCAATATCAGTAGTTTGTGAGCTGATGGACTGCTAAGGAGGTGGTGAACCTGGAAGGGAAAGCGGGGAGTGGTCACAGATGTAGGAAACCCAGGGAAGGGCACTGGATGTTCCTGCTTCCCAGCAGTACTGCAAGGACACGTTCCCCACTGGTAGGCCCACAGCATCTCCAGCGTGGGGCTGGGGAGCATAAGGCGGCTTAGATGGTTCAAAGCCAAGTCCAGGAATTCTTGGCCTTACAGCAGTGGTACTGGCAGAGGTGGGTGATAGCGCTTCCAGCAGGCCCTCGTGGCAAGGCCCAGGCCCTGGTCTTACCTCAGAGCTGATGCTGTCGGCACTGGGGTTTACCAGGATGATGGTCTCTAGGATCTCACTCTGGTGGGAGAGGGTCCTCTGGCCTGAGGGAGGGAGAGATGCAGGATTTTGTATTGAAGAGAGCGGGTATAGACTAAAGGGGGAGGCACTGTGTGGGGCAGGAGAGAAAAGAATATACTATCAGAAAATGGCGCTGAGGGGAAAGAAGAACCTAGCTATCCTTAGATCCTGCCACTTTGGATACTGCTGAGTAAGGTCTAGGAACTGGCTCCTCTAGCCCTTCCCTTTCAGGGTTTTCTCCTCCCCCTCTCCTACACTGGCAGTTTTCTCACTCCCTTCATCTGCCACACCCTCTGTCTGCTCAGTCTGGTACCCCCACCCCCTCCGCCTGGAACTCCTGCCTCAGGCTGCCCTAGTGACAAGAAGCTTTTGTCCCTCTCGAGCACTAAGCTCCTGGTGCTGCCTGGGGATGGGGGGCTCTGCTGGAGGAGGGGCTCCCGGGATCATGATCCTTACTCAGCTCTCTCCCCACTAGCCTGCCTCTGTCCTGGGCTTTCGCGCCAGCAGAATTCCTGGAAATAAGGACATAGACACTTCTTCGCAGTGTCTATGGACTCCCCATCCTCCTTTCCATCCCCTATCCAAGGCCAGAATTCCCATCCCAAAAGACTCAGTTTCTATCCCTCTAAACCTTTGGGGTTTTACAATTCAAAGAGGAGAAATAGGCCTGTAATTTCTCATTCTGTTCTCTACTTCCTCAGAGGCCAAGCCTGTGCTTACCAGCATGCCCACAAACATACTGTTTCCACAACTCCCTCTCCCACCTCACCTCCATATGCCCCAGACACAAGAGGGGCCTGGTTCACTGCCCCACAACCCATCCCATGTGAATCGTTTCTTCTCTCATTCTTGCCCCTCTCCTATGGGCCCTCTGCCATGGAGATGGCAGGCCACAAACTCGAGCTAGGGGTCCACAAACAAGAAACAAACAAGGGCGGAGAGATTCAGAATGTTTCCCAGGCCACGGAGAAAGACAAGACAGCCTCAAATTCCCTATCTACTTCCCTTCTCCAGACTCACAGGAAACACCAAGCAGTGCAGCCAAAAAAGAAAGTGGCAGGTTCAAAAATAAGGAAGGAGGATGCTGCCATCCTCTGTTCCTGCCCTTCCTTGCAGACAGACTTGAACACATGGCCTGCGAGTGGGTTGTCTGGGAGATATTGGTGGGAGAGCTCATCATCTGTCCCCTAGATTATGGGACCCAGCCCTCTCCTTTTTCTGGGGTTTGGATGAGAGAAGCCTGGGGCCAGGGCCTTTGTTAAGGGCAAGAGCCCTAGTGCCAGGATCAAGCAGATCCAGCAGCATGGGATGCACTTACAGCTGCAGGGGAAATGAGCTATGGACGGTGTGTCGGAAGAACAAACCTCATGGATGGTGGGTGGGGCCCAAAAGGAGTTCAAGGGTTCTCTTCTATTAACTTGGGAACCGAGGGAAGCTTTGAGATCAGTTCAGAGGATGAGAACCACCTTAGAGACAGGCTGGGGCAGGGCTTGGGCAGGTGAGGGGTATCAAGGTTCAAGGAAGGGCCAGGCTAGCGTAGGCAGTTCCTGCCCTCCTCACAACATACACGCACAGGGCCACACATTCAAGTTAGGAGAGTCTAAAGAGAAATAGCTGCGGTACAGACTGATTTGCTTTCTAGCTACCACTCTTCCTCCCCTCAGTGGACCATTCCTCACAGTCCCTTGTGTATAACCACTAGACTTCTTTGATCCCCGTTCCTGTCTTGGCGAAAGGCCCTTTTCCTCACCCATGTGCTCTCCAATTCTGACCGGCAACTACATGGTCTATATCCTGCACCCCTCCTTTTGAGGCCTGGGAGAAAGCCCTATTTCTCTCTTCTGCTCCCCAGCAATCCCACTGAAGGGAATTGACTTGTTATTCCTTTTTCTTCGGAAAGGACTTCTTATGAGGCAGGGGCACTTCCCCTTGGCCAGTGATGACCCAGGTAGAGGTGGGCTGGGGTGCTGAGGCTGAGCAGGCAGGAGGGCAGGTGTCTCCGCAGTGAGGCAGAAGAGGGGGGTGCCGCTTGGGCAGCTGCAGTTTGCCGCAGTGTGTGAGTGTATGTGAGTGTGCGCGCTGAGCTCAGACTCCAGCTCCGCCCCCACCCCCCACCCCAGCATGACAAGTCATTTTCTTGGCTGCCTCTGCATGGGGGGTGCGGAGGGGGGACGCAGAGAGGGAGAAGAAACTGGCGCCTCTGTTCCAGAGCCCCCATCTTGGGAAGAGAAGCGGAGATGGGGTGGGGGTGGGGCTGAGACTTGGAACCTGTGGGGTTGACAGGACTGGGAATGCAGGGCAGCTGCTGGGGAGGGAGTGCTCTCAATCTCCGGAGTGGCCTCTCAATCTCCAGAGGGAGCCAGAAGTGGGGGCTTAGAGTCCTGGTCTCAAGCTGGCCGCAGGGAATGGGGAGCGGGGAGCCCACTGCGAATAGGTTGGTCTGCGAAGAGGCGCGTGCCACGTCTTAATGACCCTTTCCTCCCTTTTCCCCCCCACAGTGTCCCCCACTTTCCCTTACTTGGCAAAAACTCGCTATTCTGCTCACCCCCAGCATAGGAGCAGCTGAGCAATCCAGCAGCTGACACCAGAGACCCTCCCATTAGGCCCAGTCCCATAACATCCACCTTTCCTTCAGATTCTTCTGCCTCTGCCCGAAGACATAGCCCCCAAACTCCTCCAGCACCACGGGCTGCCAGGCAGAGCCAGTGACACCACCCCCTGCTGCTGCCCCAAGGCTGATGTCTCCCAACCCAGCCCAGCCTGAGAGGTGGACTGTCACAGTCCCGAGCCCCACTGGCCTCCACCTGGTCCTGGGTCCAGGCCAATCCCACAGCCAGTAATGTTCATCTTCTCTCTCTGTCTGTTCCCCCACCTTGCCCATTCTGCTGGGCTAATTCCAAACACACCAGATTAGGTATCAACTCCTTTCCCATTAACCCTACCGCAGCATTCCCCCACCCCCCATGCAAAGCCCTTCGGTTAGGTTCTTACCCTGGGGTGTGGGCGGGAGCCCCTCATGGAGGCTGCAGCTCCGGCCTCAGCCGGCAGCTTGAGGGAAGAGTCTGCCGCACTTGGGGTGGTGGTGGGGGGGGCGCTTGATGGGGAGGGCGGCGCCTGGGCGGGGAAGAGGGGCTGGTCCATGACGAGGCACTGGAGACTTAACTGTTTCTTTGCCTTCATCATGTCAGTGCTCTGGGGCTTCTGCTTGGCTCTGGGGGGCTGAGGAGTTGTCTAGCAGCTCAAAGAGCCCGGGTGGTCTCCAATGGCCCACAGGGCCCTTCTCCCCCCGTCCCGATGCTGTTTAGTCAAGACATACTCTTTTAGTACCAGCCAAAAGCCCTGTGTTAGGGCACACTGCAGGGATACAGGAGGTATGGGCTGCCTGGGCCCTCCCCCTTTCCTCAGGAACCATATGCCGCCTCTCCCTTCAGATCCAGGGAATGACCTTCAATTCCTGGAGGAGCAGGAGACAAAGGGGCTGGGACCCGCAAGAATGAAGAGTGAGGGGACTGCTTGAGATGAAGGCTGGGGATGGGGTTGTGCCAGTTCTGTGGGCTTCTGAGCCACAGCTGCAGAAACCAGGGGAAGGTAGAAATAAGTCTCATTTTAGATTGCAGGGTAGGTTGAAATTCCGGAGTGGACACTTGATCCCTAGCCCATCTGGGGTGGGGCACAGGGACCCTGGGAGCTGTATGTAGTTCTTTGCCAAGTAGCCCCACACTAGCACTGATACTTGGAATTCTTGGGTCATTGAATCTGAAGAGGCTGGGTGCTTTCTGCTTTTCAGTGAAAGAGTTAACAGGGACCAAGGGGGATCACCAGGGCCCCAGGCCAATTAAGTGCAGCATAAAGTACTCTTTGGGTTAAAACAAATCTTATGAATTTGTAGGGTCTTGGGTCCCTGTGCTCTCCTTGTCTCTGTACTTTTCTATTTCTCTCTGATGTCTCTTTCTTATACTATCTTGATCCTTCCAATGTTGGTCCTGTTTTCCTTAGTCTCTACCTCTGTCTCAGGACTCAAAAGACTCAAAGGGAGGATCTCAATAGCTCTAGCACACCGTTCCAACCCAGTGATGCTCATGCTCCCACAGAGTCCTTCCTTGCCCTCTTCCCTTCCATCAACCCTCCCCAGTCCTGGCCAACTCCTAATGCCTTCCACACATTGACATCCACCCACTCAAACCCCAGCACCAGCCCCACCCTTGCCCCAGACTGCCAAGAGCTGCTTTTGAAGGTCAGAGAAGCCAAAATAGTCTTTGCTCTCAGCATCCCCCTTCCCCCCCCCCCCCCCCCGCTTAACTGTAGCCAGAGGAGAGGAGGAGCTGAGTCACCAGAACGGGGGGGGGGGGGGGGGGGGGGGAGGAGGAATCCTTGCTTAGATCCGGAGATGCAAAGCAGCAACATGGCAACAGCCCCATTTGGATTGAGGAGGCCATCTGCAGAGATACACAACACAAACCAGGCTGAGTTCTGAGCATCACAAAAGGAAAACGCCTCCCTTCTGCAACTTCATATTTCTTATTTCTTCCCACCTCAAACCTTCTATCTCCTACCTGCTTTCTAGGGCTCTCTGGAGCGTGCTAAGAGGGAAACTTGAGTAGACATTTGGCTTGAAAACAAAATAACATTTCCCAGCCCAATGCAGAGCCCACCCTTATTCTCAGCTGCTGCCCCCAAGGGCCACACCCTGGGCATAGTTCCAACTCACGCTGGAGTTTTCCTTCAGCCCTCACCCTCTGAACAGCCACCCACCACAACTGACCCTCCACCTGCTGTGTTCCTAGGCTCTGCTGCAATGAAATGATGAGATGCCGAAGAGAGAGAGGCCTGAGCTCAGACCCAAAATGCGACTAGAAGTCCTGGATTTGAGACGTGACTCCACCATTTTATTAATCATGCTGTTAAACAAGCCACTTAACCTCTCTGAAAGCTTGTTTCCTGAACTATAAAATGAGCATAGTGTTAGCACCACCTTTTAATAATGCAGGGAGGAATGAATTGCATAGAAGATAAAAAAAGTGCTTCATTCCTAGAATCCTAAACCTGCAGTGCACACATGGCCCTGGAAGTCTGTCTCCCTTTTGTGGAAGATTTATGATCAGGGAAATCCTAATCAGAATCTCAGACCAGACCAACTCTAGAGTATACCCTTATCTCCCAAGTAAGCCCAGTATTGGAGATGCCTGCAGGAAGGGACTTAAAATACTATTCATGTTCACTGCTCTCCCATTTCAGACAGCAGTGCAGACCCCCAGTTGTAGGGGCCAGTGAGCTACTATATTAATACAGAATGGCTTTCATGTTTGCAGAAGTAACAGAACTACCACCTTCAGAGCACATCAGTGGTAATGGAGAGTAACAGAAGGCCTAAAACTCGTCCTTCAGTATGTTTCTTAGAGTCTTAAAATATCAATCATGAATTATATATTATGAAAGTCTCTCCCTTTCCTGTAGGTGCCCAATAGTAGAAGTATCAGAGTGTTGTTTAAACTCAGTTTTCCATGTCCTAATAGTTTCTGGGTTTGTTTTATAATGCTTGGAAGCTCCAGATTCTCTGTAGGATTTAGAAAGGAAGGCCCCAAGTCACCACTGGAGACTTTCTGGCGCAAAATTCACCTTGTAAAGAAAGCCTTTACCAGGTTTGACCGCTAGAAGGAGCTGGGCCACTGACTCTCCATCAGTGGGTCCTTCTTTTCTGTGTTCGAGACAGTGAGGAGTGGATAGTGGATAGGAAAGATTGCACTTGCCCTGACACTGTAGGATACATGTTTGTCCCCTTTCTCGGCTTTGTGTCGCAGGGTTGAGGAGAGGTGAGAAGGATGGTGGCCTTGCCTGTGGGGTGGGCAGAAAGGATTAAGTCATAATGTACTAGCATATACCCTTACACCCACCCCAGCAGCCTGGTTCCCCTTGCCTCTCTTCCAGTGGGAGGCTGAAGGGCGGGGCAGCGGCTGCAGCTGCTCTGGGCTGACTGTTGTTTGTGGGGACAGCTGAAAGAGGAGCTAGCCGGGGTGGGGCTGTGGCTGTCTCGAGCCATGTGGGTTTTTCCAGGAAATTCTCCACTGTTCTCCAGGGACATAGACAGGCCACCATGAAAATGTCCAAACCTAAAAAAAATTCAGTATGCTCAAGTGAGCCCTGATCTTGGGACTATTGTCCTATGCTCCTGGCGGACACCATGGCAAAACTCTTTGATTAAAAAAAGGTCAAGCAGGTGTTTATATAGTAGCGCTTATTTCTGAGAGATGCCTGAGGGTAACTATGCATCTCTCTGTAAGTATCTTCCCAAGGATCCCCGAATGTTAATCTGAAGAATGGCTAAGCATTTCGGTTTAAGTTCTGTTCATTCTTACACCATTCCAGGAAGCAGCCTACTCTTAAGTTTCTGTGGCCCAGAGGACAAAGTTAGAGAATTCAGTGTGAACTGTTAACATCAGCAGATATCCCCCCAAACTTCAATTCAGTCCTTCATTTTCATCTGCTGTCATCCCCTTATCCAGCTTGCACCAGAGATCCCAGGAGTAATAAATGGCAACACTGTCAATTTTCAATCATCAGTGCTAATGGAGGAAGCCATGACATGAATAATTCTAAACAGAGGCAGTCTCAAAACAGTGAGTGGCTAGCTTCACAAGAAGCCAGTCACATCAAGGAGATGCCAGCTTCACATTTTTTAAAATGCTGCACATATTCCTAGGATAAAGGAATATGTTAACCCTCTCATAGCCTTTCTCTAGGAGCATCTCTAGAGGAGTCAGTGATCAAGGAAATGACTAAAGATGGGGCAATTAGCAGGAGGAGTATGAAGAGAATGGGGAGGTGATTATCCACTACACTGGATAATTGAGACCTATCTGTATGAGATAGGATTTCAGTCACTTGGTGGCAGTGACTGTTGAGTTGGTTGGATTTTATATTCCATAAAGGCATTGGCATATGGACTGGCGTGTCAGCATTTACCGATATCATGACCAGATGCCCACCAATTTATAATGGGACATAGGGCTTTCTGCAGTCTCCCCACAGATACTGACATGGAATGATAGCTCCTAAGATATTTTATTAAATCCCTAACCCATTTCTCCCACCCAGCAGAATGGGAAACTGAATCCTGTAAACTTTGATCTCAGAGCCAAATCTCAGAGTGTGACTAGCTCTTGTGGCTGCAAATCCAGGAGACCCTGCTTCCACCCTGGATTTGACGGTGCTCATCAGCCTTTGGTACGGGGATTCTGCTCTGCTCTGGAGATCTGTTGGCTGAACGGAAGGAGGAACCAGAAATCCTGAAACCGTAGGCTGTACAAATTGAGGGGAAAGTGCTAAACAAGGACCTGGGAAGGTGACTGGAGGACTCACAGGTCTCTATAAAGAGAAGCAAGGAGACTAGGATACACAGAAAGGGGAACACAGGGGCACCTGGGTGGCTCAGTTGGTTGGGCGACTGCCTTCGGCTCAGGTCATGATCCTGGAGTCCCGGGATCGAGTCCCGCATCGGGCTCCCTGCTCGGCGGGGAGTCTGCTTCTCCCTCTGACCCTCCCCCCTCTCATGCTCTCTATCTCATTCTCTCTCAAATAAATAAAATCTTTAAAAAAAAAGGGGGGGGGAACACAAAAAGAGAGTGGATTTTTGCATGGGAGATGATTGATCACTCAATAGCAGTACCTCATTCCCTTAGTGCATGTCAACAGCTGTCCATAAACCACCCTCTTCTCAGGTAGAAATTCTGTTCTGCAGGCTCCCTCCAGCATCATACCAACTGTCTGCAAAGGGTACTGGGTATGCAAGGATAGCTTTGGAGCCTTGCAACTTTCCCCCCAAGAGTCCCTCCCTTCTGCCCAACCCAAACCTCCCACAAAGCCAGCTCTGCCAGAGAGACTGGACCTCTGCTCTTCTGTAATCAACCCTCACCCAAAGAACTGAGACAAATGACACTAGTCCTAACCTTTGACCTCTGAGGAGAAGTGAGCTAGGTGCCGGGTGATGAAGAGTCTCAATTGTTGGTTCAAGTCAAAAGATGATAAGTCAATGTTCCAGGAGAGAATCCCTGTGAGAGAAAAAGAAAAAAAGAGGGCTCTAGATAAGGTCAGTGGAGGTGGACTTAGGGGAGTACTTCCAAAGCTCACAGAAGGGGTAAGGACAGAGAGAGGATAAGGACTGCCATGATCAGCCTCACTGACGTCTTTAAGACGTCCTGTGCCTTTCTTGAGCTTTGCCTCAGCCAGAGAGAGAAGGGCAGAGTTTAAGCTAAACTTGGTCATTAATGGGTTTGTATGTAGTCATTTTCCTGCAGAGTTGCCCAACTGTGATAGAGGTGACACGAGGGCCAGTTCCCAGATACTGGGGACTGCCTTCCTGGGCTTTACAGCTAAACAGTATTCTAGACTCTCCTTCTATGCCCCCTCCTTGCCTCCACCCCTCCGCAGCTTGCTTCCACCCGCAGGGGGCTCCGCAGCACTGCGCCACAGGCAGGCAACTGGAGAGGGAGGTGAGGACTGAGGAGCTTCTGGCCACGAAGGTCACTCTCTTAGGTTTACCGCTGGCACTGAGAGATTTAAGATTTGTCCGCGGCTTTCAGAAAGCACCCTGTTCCTGTTCAGGGACCCTAAAGAAGAAACTAAGGTAGGAACATGGACTCTCCAGGGCATGATGAGGACTCTCAAGACACTTGACCCCAGACACTGCGTGTGGGAGGGGTGTGGCCAGAGTGGCCCCAGGGGCTGTGTAGAGCTCCCCTGCCTCGGGGGCGTTGCGGAACGCCATGGGACGTGCGGGAGGGATGGGGAAGCGAAGGTTAGTAGCTAGAGACGATATGGACGCACGACATGGAAGATGCAGGTGACCGGGGCTGATGATTCAGATTCACAGGGAGCGCAGATCTCAGTCAGTGCAACCTAGGGATGGAGAAGGCAGACGTACACAGATGGCGGAGAAGCACGGGATGGAGGATGCCCCAAGCGCGGCCAGGACAGAGGCTCACCTTGTTCAAGGTGGGCCCGCACGGCCCTCAGCTGACTCTCTGTACCGATATCACCGATCACGATGAGCAAAGAGTGTTTCCGCAGGTCCCAGCGTGCTGCCGCCACTGCGGCTCCGGCCTCGCACAGCGGCTCCGCGGGGTTTTGAGCCCGCAGAGCGCCGGGGCTTCGGAGCCCCAGCCCGGGGCTTGTCTCCATGGCAACGCCGCTAGGCCGCCCGGGCCCAGCCTCGGTCTCCATGGAAACTCCGTTGGAGTGCTAGGCCGGCGGCGTCCGCAGCAGGGAGAGTGTGCGCGGTTCTTAAAGGCAGGCGGCAGGAACCGTTCATTGGCTGATGCCTGTCAGGGGGTGGAGCCCTGGCGCCGCAGGGGCCGGGCTGGGGCAGCGATGCTCCCGCCCTGCGGACACCCGCGGCCGAGGGGTGGTGGCTGCCCCTGTCATCCCCCTCGCCTTTTCCATAAGGAGCGCCCACCCAGACTTGGGCAGGGGTGGGGCTCTGAGGGACTCGGTGGAGGGGCGAGTCGATTGCCTCGGCGCCGGAAGAAGCTTCTAGTTAGGATGTTTCCAGATAAGTACTGTCTGGCAATTCCGCAGCCTCGCCAGAACTGAGGGGAGCCATATTGTCCCTCCTCTCTGTCTCCCAGTTTGTATCGTTGTCTCCATCTGTGCCGGTGTCTTATCATTGTCTGGTGCTTTTTTTTTTGGTCCCCGCGTGCCAGGGTCCTAGATTCCCTCCTCGCTTTACTTGTCCTATTGCCCCAGGCCGGGGAATGCTCAGGAAGGCTGCGCAGTATTGGAGGGACAGAATGACCTTCCAGCCCTGAGTCCCTGGTGAGTTGCTGTGCCGAAGATAGGGTTTGGCTAGTCTCCATCTCTGCTGAGTGCAGGACTCCAGTGCAATGAGCTCAGACTGCAGCAAGGGGGATCTGAGTAAAACGCAGGAAGGACCTTCCCAGCTACAAGTAATGTGACACAGTGAGTTGGGTAAACTTGGGAGACAGTGGTGTTACTTCCCCAGGGAATTCTCAAAACAGAAGGGGCGCTCTTTGAACCGAAGAGGCTGACCAGTCCAAAACCAAAGAACCAGGGGATGGGAAAGAGGACTGAGAAGGCTGGCACTGTTTTATGACCGACTAGAATATTCTTGTAAAAATGGTGTGTGCTGTTAAGTCTTACCACCCCCATTCCTCAGTGTGTCCACATCACGTACTCTGCACTCCAGCATCTTCTTTTACCCAAGATTCTGAATCATTCTGTGCATGTATGTATCAGAGAACCTGTCTTTCATGCTTGGGCTCCAGCAGCTCTTTGCCTTACATTTTGGGGATTTGCCTTACATTTTGGGGATAGTACAGGGTGGAAAGGAGCACAGTTCCTGATTCTAATCCCCCTCCTCTCTGGAGGCCCTGAGGAGGATTAGACAGTGCCTGCATACTAAGTACCTCACTGCAGTCCTAGTCCTTATCATGGGGCATGTGTGATAGCTGAAGAGCCAGTCTACTCTGCAGTCAGTTTGGATATGCCCTTACCTGAAACTAATATTATATGTCAATTATATCTCAGTTAAAAAAAATGGATATGGCTCTGAAAATCCCTTCCGAAGCAGAGAAGGAGAAATAAGAGTACTAGCAGAGCATCAGATGGTGGTGGTGCTTCACCTGTATGACACATGAAACAATGTTCCGCTACATCTCTGCCCCACCATTTGCAGATCTGAGTCTGGCAAAGCTTGGAGAGATGTGCAGTTCTCCTCTTCCGCAACCAGACAAGAGTGCCACGTGGAGGCAGAAAGCCAGAATAGGCTGTAGGGAGAAGAAGGGGACAGTTTCTATAGCAACTGTAAAGATGAGACCTTTAACTACCACAGAGCCTCAGAATAAGGGTCAGCAGCAGTTAACCACAGGCTCTGCTTTCATCAAGTCTGACAAAGAAGTTAAACAATAGATCTGAATGGTATAGGGAAGGACCACACACTGATCAGATGGTAGGGGCACAAATTCAGGTCTATGATCTCAGGCCCTGCTAGAATTAGGTTTTGTTAATTGCAGCTGCAAAGGCAGGCTATGATAATACTAAATTGCACATATAGGCTGGATGAGCATTCAGCACAGGCTGTTCTTTAAAAGGCAGAAAATGTCATAGAAAGATTGACTGCAGTTATGTCTTAATTACCCCACTCTTTCCTTAGTTAACAGTATCCCAGCCATTGGGTGATGATTCCAGTAGCATCATTATATTATCAGAAAATTTTTTCAAGCATCAAATGGCACACAGCACTGTGTGCACAATGCTCTATAAAGAAAACTATGGAGGTTAGCATCAGTATCTGTGTTCCAGAATTTTAGAACTGAAGACAGAAAACACTTATGTACATATGTAAAAGGCGTAGAAAGCTGAATAAAAATATTAAAGAAAAACATGCATGAATTGCAAAGTATATAAACCTCTATTTTGTGTTTAGGAAGAGGGTGCTGTGGCAGGAGCCTAATAGTAAAAGGATGTCACCGCAAAGACCAGTCCAAAGGGATTACTGGGGGGGCGCCTGGGTGGCTCAGTCATTAAGCGGCTGCCTTCGGCTCAGGTCATGATCCCAGGATCCTGGGATCGAGCCCCGCATCGGGCTCCCTGCTCTGCGGGAAGTCTGCTTCTCCCTCTCCCACTCCCCCTGCTTGTGTTCCCACTCTCGCTGTGTCTCTCTCTTTCAAATAAATAAGTAAAATCTTAAAAAAAAAAAAAAAAAAAGGTAACTGGGCACCTGTGGTATGCATGATTGTGAGGAACCCACAGTAGTGTGTGGTGGTTATAGAGCCCACTTCAGTGTTTCATTTAACTATTGACCCCTGGAATGACCAAATCTGATCTTTTGGGAACTCCCTTATTCTGTAGTTTCTTCCACACTCTTGTCATGTAGGATTAGGAGATATAGTGATTACAACCAATGCTTTTCAAACTATTTGTGGTGAAGGACCCTTGAATTGTAGAAGGGGTCACTGGGGATCTACCACTGAAAGGGGAGATTAGAGGAGATGCAAAAGGAAGATGCTATTATAGGCTCTTTCCTTGGGTGTGCACTGCAGTGGGCACAAGGCAGAAAACAGTATAAATCTGGAATAGTATGAAAGGTAATTGTAGCCTTGGCTAAGTGTAAGCCAGTTAAAGGATTCTCAGACCTTCACCAGTTCACAATATCTAGTGATAAGTCATTGAATAGGTACATTATGCACATATTTAACAAAGTAGAAGGGCATCTCTCAATTTTTTCTGGAAACAATTTCATGTTTGGCATTTAAATTTAAATTAAATTAAAAAATTTCATTGTCCTCATGAGAAAATACAAACTTTATTAGGATTAATTGCACTCATCTTGAATTATGTGTATGTGGGAAAGGAGGGCACCGTAATGCTTTCAATGCTTGGGGTCTCCACAGGACTTAAGCCAGCTCTGATAATTCATAAAGAAAAGACACTGACTCCTCCCTTACTTCTGGCCTGATGAATGTCATGAGTTTTTCTGAGGATCTGAGCTCATTTGACAGAATTCCAGCCTGCTCTGCCAGATTGCATGGTCTTATCAACTAAAATATCCAAAAGGAGCTGCATGCAGCTCAGATTCCCACCCTGTACTCAGTTCTGCCTATAAAGCATTCTTTACACAGAGAGAGACGTGTTGGATTACAGGATTGCTGTGTCAGAGGTTTATCCTTGGCTTTTGGGGAAAATACTATGATCATAATGCATACCAGCAGCCATAGGGTCACCTCTTAGCATGAACAGCTGGTTTATCTGCAGAGGCACTGAGTAAAATAATCTCTGAAAAAGTTGAGGTGGGGGAGAAATCTGCATTTATTACTATGTCTGGCACACAGAGGAGGTCCACAGTAATTATCTGTTGGATAATTTTCCCAATTGCTATTTGTTAACATTAAATAATGGGAAAAGCACAGGCACTGGATTTACCCTCTCCCCAGAGAACATTGCAAAAGGACAATGAAGATATTTACCCCTTTTCCTCCCTTACTCCCCTCATTCTTTTGTTGAAGAAAGTAGTTCCCAAAAGTAAAAAAGAAACATTTAGAGATACTGTCTTCCTTTAGCCATTCCACTAGCCTGTGAGATGGAAGTTAGTGTTTGGTTGTGGCCACCATTTTCCTTTAGCCTTCTGAGCAAAGCTACTCTTACTACAGGAACCTCTAAGGATTTTCTTGTGGTGATGGACATGCTGGTCATAAAGATAATCCAAACCTAAGTGTATAACTTAGTTTTGAGGCCATGCCTGTGTATGAATCAAATTTTACATCATTTTTAAAGGTATTTGTAGAATAGAGTTGCTTTCCTTGAAGGAATGCTTGGGTTGAAGAAGTATCGTTCCCTTCTCAGTGTCACAAAACCACAGTTAACTTTTCCCTTCCTTCTTCTTTTCTTGAAGATCCTTCATAATATACCCTAACTTCCCTTTCTAATATTACCTTTTTTAAAAAAGATTTTATTTATTTGTTTAACACACAGAGAGAGAGAGCGTGCGCAAGCAGGCAGAGCGAGAAGGAGAAGCTGAGCAGAGAGCCTGATGCAGGGCTCAATGCCAGGACCCTGGGGTCATGACCTGAGCCAAAGGCAGATGCTTAACCAACTGAGCCATCCAGGCATCCCTCTAACATTATCTCTTGCAAATACTTTGCCTTAACCCTTAGTCAGTCAATCTGAGCCACTTGCCTTTCCTTCATTTTTTTTTTAAGATTTTATTTATTTATTTATTTATTTATTTATTTATTTATTTATTTATTTATTTATTTATTTTAGAGAGAGAGAGAGAGAGCATGAGCAGGCGTGGCGGGGAGGAGCAGAGGGAGAGAGAATCTCAAGCAGACTCCATGCTGAGTGTGGAGCCCGTAGTGGGGCTTGATCCCATGACCCTGAGATCCTGATCTGAGCCAAAACCAAGAGTCGAACGCTTAACCGACTGAGCCACCCAGGCACCCCATCCCTCAGTTATTCTTATACTTTCTGTTTAGGCTGTCTCTTTTTCCTTGGATGCTTTGGTTCACCTTCATTCTCATTTAGCGATTTATTTACTTTACCCTTTTGATTTACTTTGTGTATAGAACAAGGTTCCATCTTGTTCCACAAAGGATTTAAGGAGTATCACCAAACTCAAACACAGGTGCTTCTAGGCAACTGACTTCCGCAGTTGCCAACTCTGTGCTTTAGTTTTCTCTTCGGTAAAATCATAGTAATTGTATCCCACCTTATTGTTATTTTGAGAATTAAGGGGGACAATCTCTTAAATATGCTT